AAAGGCTCCTGGTAAAGGTAGTTATCAAGCTATATTCATTTTATTTCTAGGGTGCAATGTGGGGAGAAGGTTGCAGACATCAAATTAAATTTGACCATGAGCTAATACTGATTGAGGATGCTGTTTGGAGCTTTCCCAAAGGCTTACGGAATTGAACAAATCTCCAGTATTTCATCCCAATATTTGAAAACATGTGTTTTTCATTCTTAGGCAAAATATATGTCTTTATTCAAGCAGTAAAGCGTTCATTGGCTAACAGTTTTACTTTTAATTTCTTTTATATAGGAAAAAGTCTAAGTATGTTGTCTGCAATAAATGTTTGTCTAGAACTTGATGGAAACTCTTCCACAACATCAACAATTTTATCAGAAAAAGTGTCATCATTACCAAAGGAAATATTTGATTTTAGTTATCCTGAAATACAGGAAGCCCTGCTTACGCTTTTGGGAAATGAAAATTCGTTTCAATCACATGTACAACTGACTCAAGGTTACTGCTTAGGTATGAAATGTCACAGTGTTATTATTATCCAATATGGAGCATTTGCTTTGAAGCCTGAACAGGTGCTTTCCTATTGCTACTCAAATCATTTACTGATTTTTACATACCGTATTTTCCAGCGTATAAGACGACTTTCTAAACCCTGAAAATCTTCTCAAAAGTCAGGGGTCGTCTTATATGCCCAGTCGTCTTATACGCCGGAAAATACAGGTATTCTATTTTATTTTATTTATATAAGCTGAGGATGCGATGGGGGCGGCAGCCGGGAGCCACTGCCTCCCGTCCTGCTCCCCATCCCTCGACGCGATGGGGGCGGCAGCCGGGAGCTGTTGCCTCCTGTCCTGCTCCCCTTCCCTGCCCATTCAGCTGAGGATGCGATGGGGGCGGCGGCCGGGAGCCGCTGCCTCCTGTCCTGCTCCCCCTCCCCGCCCATTCGGCTGAGGACGCGGCGGCCAGGCTGGGGGCGGCGTGGACTCCTGACGATGCTGCAGTGGCTGCTGCCGTGCCGCCGCCGCCACTGGAGCCGCTGCCTCCCGTCCTGCTCCCCTTCCCCGCCCGTTTGGCGCCGTCTGCCTTTCATTCGCTCTCTCTCCTAACCTGGAGGGAGAGGGAGAGAGAGAAAGAGAGAAAGAGGAAAGAAAGAGAAGAGAAAGAGGAAAAAGAAAGAGAAGAGAGAGAGAAAGAGGAAAGAGAAAGAGGAAAGAAAGAGAAGAGAAAGAGAGGAAAGAGGGAAAGAGAAAGAGAGGAAAGAGAAGAGAAAGAGAAAGAGAGGAAAGAGAGAAAGTTAGAGGAAAGAGAAAGGAAGAGAAAGAAAGAGACAGAAAGAGGAAAGAGAGAGAAAGTTAGAGGAAAGAAAGAAAGAGAAGAGAGGAAAGAGAAAGGAAAGAGAGAAAGAGGAAGAGAGGAAAGAGAGAAAGAGGAAAGAGAAAGAGATAAAGGGAGAGGAAAGAGAAAAAGAGGAAAGGGAGAGAAGGAGAGGAAAGAGAAAGAGGAAAGAGAAAGAAAGGGGGAGAGGAAAGAGAAAATGAGGAAAGAGAAAAAAGATTGAGAAAAGAGGAAAGAGAGAAAGGAAAGAGAAGAGAAAGAGGAAAGAGAGAGAGAGAAAGTTAGAGGAAAGAAGAAAGAGAAATAAAGAGAGAGGAAAGAAAGGAAAGAGAGAGAGGAAAGAGAGACAGACAGAGAGAGAGACCCTTTTGACATCTAAAATGAAGATAAGACTGCATATATCCTTTTTTACCTTTATTTTATATATACACACACAAATACACACAAACACACACACACACACACATATATCATAAAGGTAAAAAAGGATATATGCAGTCTTATCTTCATTTTAGATATCAAAAGGATTTTGCGGCTCCCAGTGTTTTGTTTTCGGTGGGAAACGTGTCCAAGTGGCTCTTTGAGTGTTTTGGGTTGCCTACCCCTGATATAGCCCAAACTCTATATTTTAACTGGAAAAGTTGGGGGTCGTCTTATATGCCCAGTCGTCTTATACGCCGGAAAATACGGTATATAAAACCCTGATATGACTAAAGCCCAGATTACTTGCATACTGCTCTCTACCTATGAGTACTGTGATTATATGTCCTTTATTAAGGACAGTTCTTTATTTCAGAAAGTTGTCCTTTAAATTTATATATTTTTCAAACGCTACTTTCGCCCTTTCCGGTCATTTAACTTTTACTATACAAATGGTACCACTTAATGTGCAGCCTTTCACATTTTGTGAAAAATATGAAAATTGAATTGTCTTTTTAAAAATAATTTACATTTATTTATTTAAAAATAAATACATTTTAGATATTTTTATTAGAATATGTGCTTTTGTAAAGTTTTTCTTGGTTTTGCTCTTGATTTTTCCTTTGTAAAACAAAGCTATAAACACAAAACATTAAACAAAATATCCATATGCATCTCTTTCAGATTTGCCCCTTTTTGAGGTTTGTCCTTTATTTTTTCTGAGAAAATATAATCACTCTAGAGATAAGTAGCCATATAAATACATAACAATAAAATACATATAAACAGATATGGCTAAAGTACAGATTACTTGCCTACTGCCCTGTAGCTATGAGGGGATTGTCTTGCTATCTCCTATTCCTCACCTCAAGGGGGGGGAGCCCAGAAGAAGGCCTTTCTATGGTTACTCCATCTCCATTTAAATGCATTTTTCTTTGGGAAAAGCAACTAAAAGCTTGTAAGAGAACATTGGGATTAAGTGATTCACTTTCAGTCATTATTTTTGTGATGCTAGCTTTGAGCTGTTGTTGTATAAGTGTCTTGTATAAGAGCCCCCCCCCTCACAAATATAAAGTATCAAGCATAATGTTATAAAAGATAATGGAAGAAAAACTTAACACTTATTGGGGCAATCATGCTTATATGTAGATTTTAAAAGAAATCTAAAATTTCCTTTAAGAGACAATTTGTTTACAGTTTTAAAAATTTGATTTAAAGTTTTCATGTTAATAAAAATATAATTTTATCACCCATCCTTTCTCACTGATAGTATGTATTTTGTTTCCATGCTTACATGTGCTCACTGCTTCAATATGCAGAAGAATTCACTGCTGTGTATGAAACCATATTAGTTGGGAAAGATTTTGTCCAAACCTCAGTTGTTTATAATCAGTTGTGATTTTTTTTCTCCATAACCAGAATAGTATTTCTCTTCATCGATGTTAGTAAAACAAATGTAACTTATTTGCATTTAATATGTTATTGAAATACGTTTTTCCTTGTATTATTTTGAGAAATTGTGAGTGTGTAGCAATTTATTTATAACAATATAATGTTTGACTTTTTTTTAGATTTTGAAATTTTAATGGATACAAACCGAAAAATAGCATTGACAAGCACAGAAGCAAATCAGCTGAAAGGTGATCCCAACCTCAAAAGGTAATTTCATCTGAGTGTAGGTTTTACTTAGTTTGTTATTCAATAGGTTGAATTTCCAGGCACAATTGTTTAGATTTCATGATCTGTAGAGAAATAAATACTTCATTTATGTGCAGACATCTAGATCTAAGGGCAAAGTGTACATGTGGGCACACTTCAAGAACCCATGCCATTTTCTGGGATTCAGCAGGTACCCTCTCTACCTGCTGTATGATCTCTGGAAAATAGAGGTGTATTTTATGTGTACACATAATAATTCATTGGAATGATTTCTCTTTATCTTTTTAAATTGTCATTCTAAAGGCAATGGGTTTATAGCAGGGCTATAGGCATTAACCTGAAGGCTGTATCAGCCTTTGAATGACCACAGTGTAANCAACGAATAGAGTTTACGACTCTACTTGGAGGAGGTTTACATCTTGGATGTCTAGTCATCATGTTCAGTTGTCTTCTCTCACTGTTCCTCAGGTTCTACAGTTTTTGCTTGATGGAATGGATAAAGGGCTGTCTCCCAGTACTCTCAGGAGACAGGTGGCGGCCTTGGCTACGGTTCTTTCCTGCAACGACGCTTCCTCGCGCACCATCCGATGATCCGTTCTTTCCTTAAGGGAGCAGTTAATATCAAGCCCCCAACAGTTCATCGGTATCCTTCCTGGGATTTGTCAAAGGTTTTACAGGCCCTTACCGGGTCACCTTTTGAACCTCTTTGCTCATGTGATCTCAATCTCTTATCCATGAAAGTGGCCTTTCTGGTAGCAGTGACCTCTGCCAGGCGCATTTCCGAATTGGCTGCTCTTTCGGTGAGGGAGGATCTTTGCTTATTTCACCCTGATTGTGTAATCTTACGTTTGGATCCCACATTTGTTCCTAAGGTGAATTCCTTGTTTCACCGGTCACAGGAAGTGGTGTTACCAAGTTTTTGTCCTCGTCCATCTAGTGACTTGGACCGCAAATGGTACACTTTGGATGTTCGCAGGGCACTTCGCATTTATATTAAGAGGACATCTTCTTTCCGTAGGTCTGAGGCCCTCTTCTTGTCATTCGCTCCGACCTCAATGGGTCTCAAGATCTCTTCTACCACCATCGCCAGATGGATAAAGGCTTGTATTGCTAGAGCATATCAATCACAATCATTGGCCGTGCTGTCACGTATCACAGCTCACTCTACTCGTAGCGCGGCCACTTCTGCCTGGGCTACTCAGGCGCCTATCGGTGACATCTGTCGGACGGCGACCTGGTCGTCCCCTTCGCCATTTATCCGTCATTATAAGATTGATAGTTTTGCTTCTGCTGACGCTGCCTTTGGCCGTCGAGTATTACAGAGGGTAGTATCATCTCCTGCATCACGTGCCCCGTCTGTTAACCCTCCCTAGGGACAGGCGAG